TGTTTCTTGCCCGCGTAAACGTACACGCCTCAGGCTCAACATCTACCACCTACTGCGCAACCCGCGTAGAAGTTCACGCCTCAGGCTGGCAGTCTTCCGGTAATACCGGGCATCGTCCCGCGTTACAGTACACGCCTCAGGACGGCACAATTTTCCACAATTTCTCATGCCATGCCACCCACCATTCTTTCTTTCTCAAGTACACGCTCAATATGCACCACCATCCACTGGCCCATTACACGCGGCCCGTGCACGCATCAATTAACACGTAAAACATGCTCACTCAGCATTCGACATGGTCAATTTCAACAATTAATTCAATCTGGCCCACGCGTGCACATAATCAAGCACATTTCAATCCATCAAATCACGGTTCAATAAACACACAAGGCCACTCATGGGCCCACAAACACAGCCATGTTCATAGGCATAATTTTGACATTTCCTAGCATATTAAACACCACAATCCAGCCATACTACCACACACCAAACCAACACCATTTGGCCTTAAATCGAGCGCTAAGCTCGCCAATTCCATCCCACAACATCCGACACTCTATTCAGTCTCACTCCAGCCTCGAAACATCCTCATTTCATCCTCGAGTTACCTCATATAACACAAACAAATACTCAATTAAATCAACCCCATCCAGAATAATTCAAACATGCCCAAAACACGTAAATTGCCAATTTTCTCCAACCAAATGGCGTCGGATTAATTCCGGTCCTTCACGGAACTTTCTCGCCATAGTATCTAGGTTCCAAAAATTCAACTTGCGTCCCAATCGGACCATCACAGCTCGGTGAACAGTAATCCACAGCCAGTGAACAGTGATTCGAGGCATATGAACAGTAATTCGCAGCCCCTAATTTTCTGAATTTCCAATAAATATTACCCGAATTAATTCCTAAGGCCCGCCATAAAATTTCCACTCCCTATTCATACCATTCCGCACCTAATTCCATACTGATTTTGTCCGAAAATTACCCGTCGATACCCAAAGTCCTAAATTAGGTTTAGGCGCGACGTACCCGCGTTGGCTAACTCAGCATACCACATGGTCAATTGAACAATCATTTCAATTGAACCCAAACGTGCACGAATCAAACATATTTACACCAGTCCATTGCACAGATGCACACACAATTCTACCACCACAACTTAATTATAATTAAAACACACGTAAAACATATAAATTTCTATTTTTCTCCCACCAAACGACGCCAAATCGATTCTGGTCCTTCATGGGACTTCCTCGCCATTAAATACCGGTTCTAAAAATCTAACTTGCGTCCCGAACCGAGCATCACAACCTCGTGAACAGTAAATCACAGCTCGTGAACAGTGATTCTTAGCTTAAAATTCCCTCAAATCGTCCTCCAAAAATTCCAAATTAATTCCTTAAGGCCCGCTATACATTCCCGGTCTAAAGCCCCAACATTTCGCACCCGCACAAGTCCAATTTCACCCAAAATCAAATTGTTCGGCAATACCCAAAATCCTAAATCGGGATTAGAGTATGACTTACCGCGTTCTAGGCTAAAACGGCTAGAACGGAAAGCGGTGGCGCTCTACGACGAAGGCGAACAACTCATGGTGGTTTCCGGCTTGCACGGCAGCGGTTCGGCGGCGGCGTGGTCTTGCACGGCCGGAAATGGGTCACGGGAAGAGAGAGAAAGAGAGGGGAAAGAGAGAGAGACGGTGAGGTTGGAGGATGGTGGTGGTGGCGTACGGGGGTGGCAAGGCGGCTAGACGGCGGTCCGGCGTGCGGCGGCGAGCGGCGGTGCCGGCGGTGGGGGAGAAAGAGAGAGAGTATACGGTGGAGGGGAAGGGGACTCACGGAGGAGGGGGAGAAAGAAGAGAGAGGAGAGAGAGAAAGGGAGTCAAGGGCTTAAAAATCAATTTTGACCAACTTTTTGGCAATTTGCCAAAATGCCCTTCTCTCACACAACTAACCCTTTATTAATCCCAAGGGTAAAATGGTCACTTCCTCCGTTTCTTGTCCAAATCGAATTTTTCTGAAGGAATTGAGCGCACCAAAAATTCATACGTGACACGTGCAATGTCGTCCTAACGTTCCGTCGTGACTTCCTAATTTTCCGGTGTCCAATTTGGGTAAAATTCCATAATTAAATTCTATTAAACGCAACTCAAGCGTTTCTCGAGCTAACGGGCGGCTTGCTGGGGAAATTCGCTGAATCGACTCATGACTGATACTAAATCGAGTCACGTGCAAGTCCGTTCGGTGCGTGACGACCTCGGTTGTCATTAAAATCGCGAAGATCAATCACTTGATCCGAGGGGTACGATCGTTCGGTATAATTTCAAAATCATTCGTCAAGTCGTTTCGTGGTCCAACGGAATCACCCGCGATCCACTACTAAGACAGTGGCAAACTGACCCCTAACTATCCTTGGATCGGCCAATAGTGGCTCAAAATATCACTAACGCGATTTAATGGTCGAAATCCATTCACGATCGAATTTTCTTTAGTCGCGCAAATTTAATTCCCCTATTAGCCTTTCCCTAATGGTTAACATTCCCAGGAATGATCAGTTCCGGGCGAGAACTGACTACGAGTACATTCATAAAATCCAGTATTTCATAAATCCCAAATGGACTAATTTTTCAGGATGTCACAATCTTCCCCCCTTATAAAAATTTCGTCCTCGAAATTTACGAATCCCACCACTACTCAAGGCTTACAATCTTACTACTGCTCAAACAGCTGGGGGTATTGACGTTGCATAATCTCTTCGCTTTCCCAAATGACACCTTTTGTCCTTCGGTGCTCCCATACACTTGGATCACTGGGACTGACTTATTATGCGGCCCATGATCCTTTCTGTCCTCAAGCTTCATCGGCCCTTTCCGCATACGACACTTTATCGTCCACGTCTGTTTCCCCTTAACGTGGGTCATATTTGGCTCATACTTTTTCAACGTTGTCACGCGAGATACATCATATACTTAGGACAGATTAGGCAACGAGGCAATTTGTTAGATCATATCTCCGATCTTTTCCCGAATATCGAATAATTTGACATGCCTTGGCTTAACTTCCCTTTTCTGTCAAATTAGGATAATCTTTCCATTGAGAAAAACTTGGGCTGTCACTTAGTTCCCAATCTCAAGCTCTAAAAGTCGTCGTCTCCGATCGGGTGACCCTTCTGACGACTCTACTTATCTGTCCGACTCAAAGTCCGTTCACAATGTCCGAAAGCGCACTGACTTAGTCAGTTTATCAACTGCTATTTTGATGGAATCGGGTTTTCTCCGGCTCCCCTTTGATCTTACTACAACATCCTTGAGATCATGTTACATTTCCATTCAAACGGATTTCCTTCTCAATCAGTCGTGCCCATAGCACGGCTATCGACGAAAATCTTCCACAAAACATCGATGATCATCAGCCAAATCTAAGATACTGCCAACCTCCGTTATTGGCATTAATCTTGGCCACTTAGTCATCACCTCAACCTTAGTCGGGTTCACTGTAATTCCATTTCCCTTAGATTATATGTCCAGGGGATATTGTTCTATTGAGCCAAAATTCGCACTTGCCATACTTGGCGTAGAGTGCGTGTTCTCTCAAGATTCACAGCACCTCAGTCAGACTTGCTTCTTGTTCCCAGGCTCTTCGAGTCTCCCAATACATTATCAACGAAGATCGTTATGAATTAATCCCATAATTCTTGGAACATTCGGTTCATTAGGTCTACAGAAGCAGCGAGGCATCCCTTAGTTCAATGGGCATTACTATGAATGCCTAGTGCCCATACCTCGTCTGTTAAGCAGTTGTAATTACATCCTTTTTATATGTCCTTAACGGAAAATTTCCAATCCGTAACACAATCTTAGGAACATTCTCTTTCTGAATTCCTTACCGGTGACATCCGTTCATAATTCAACCTTAGAGGACACTAAAGTTCCTTGCAATCAATCGAACAGACTATCGATCCTCGGTAATGGGTACTCATTCCTTTTTGTTGCCTGGTCCTGTTGCCGGTAATTTACGTACCATCTCAATGTCTTGTCCTTTTTCCTCATACCAAATACAGGAACTCTCCATGGAGACACACTAGGGCGGATAAAATTTTATCCACGAGTCCGTACATTTGGACTTTCAATTCCTTAAACTTTCAACAAGAACATTTAACACCGCGCCCTCGAAATCAGCTTCATCTCGGGGCCAATCCTTTCACAATTCCACTTCCCGTTCTAGTGGCAACCCGGCAATTCCTGAGGAAAGACCTTGAAAGGTTACACACCTCACTTACTCTTTCAACTTTAATTCCGTCACGGTCGAGTCAACCACATTCACCTCGTATCCTTCGCAACTATCATCGGATATCTAGTCACCCCAAACGAGGGCATTCAAGAAATCGAGATTCCTCCTCGATTTTCCTGAAGATCAAACCTAAGACGTTCAACTGGGTTGAACTGGATCGTCCTTTAGTCGTAGTCCATAACGGCCTTCTGTCTTATTAGCCAATCCATTTCAATTCCCCACTCAAAATCGCACCTGACCAATACTGTCAAGTTGACACTCTTTTCTCTACTCTCGAATACTATCTCACAGTTAAGACACTTTAATGACACCATCACCTTATCAATCGAGGAATCGTCACACCAAACGTGACTCAAGCACAACAGACTCAGTCTCATCCAGTTTAACTAATTGTTCCAACTCCCACTTTCGACGCAAGCCTCAAAACGGCTCGTTTGACGATTCGGTTTTCTAATATCCTTCCTAACCGGTGGAACGAATCGCCTGTTTCCCTGCCATCTGTCTCTTCTCGAGGCGGCGATTATCCTTAATTTGAGCAAATCACTATCCAGAAGTAGTTGCACTTTCCAACTGATCTCGCTCTATCACTTGAGCTCATTCATACACTTCCCCATCATTGCTGATGTTCAGTGAAATCATTAAGTTTCAGAGATCCGACTTCAGTCCGTCTCGGGATTTCTGAACCTTGTCCCGTGGATTCTCAACCAGTTAAATGGACTCCATTTCATATCGTTCCACAGTCATCTGACCCTGGCAGAGCCTCATAAACTCTGCTAGTTTCTTCTCCCTAGCACTTGCCAAGAAATATTTTTCATAAAACTTTTCAGTAAAAACAGCCCAAGTCCGAGCTGTGCCTTCCAGAAAAACCCGATCTTTGGTGACCTTCCACCAATCGCTCGCGTTATCCTGCAACTGGTAAACCGCCAGCGTTAGTTTCTCATGATCAGTACACTCTAGCACCTCAAAAGCCTTCTCGAGCTCCTCTACCCATCTAGGTGCAGCCTCCGGGTCACCTTTTCTAGAAAACTTAGGTGGTTTCAACTTAATAAACTGCTCCACCAACTGATGCATAGGTCTATTGGCAGCCACTTGCCCCTGACCTTGGTTCTCATTAGCAACAGCAACAGCCTCGACGGCTTGGGCAACCGGAGCAGCTCGCTCCTGAGTCTGCCGTTCTATTATATCTCCAATCCGTTCTAGGGTCCTCATGATCGTTTCCATTCTGGGGTCCACAACAGGTCTAACTTCTATACCGGGGTTTGCTGCTACTCCAGCATCAACTTCTAAATTTTACATCGCTCCAGCACCCATTCCAAGATCCTCTACCAGCGCCCCTTCTTGGGACTCTTCCTATTCCCTTTCCTTAGCTGCTCATCGTCACGATTCTACCACTCTACTACCTGCTGTAATTCCACTCAGGAATTAACGGTCTAAACCAACTAGCTCAATCAAATTCTAAGCAGCGAATTAACACGAAAGCTCGCTCAGCAAGCATTTCCCCACTACCCATCACGAAATCACAATCACCAAAGTCTGAACACTTACCTCAGGTCCAGACGCACCTGCAATTCAATTACCACACACAATTGACTTACAAAAACAATCACAACAAACAATCTGGAGACACGTGTAGCTCACACTACCATACAGAGATCTCCCCAATTTCTACCCCAAATCTCTGCTCCTTATCACTCCAAACTTCGATCAGTCCAGATCGAGCTATCCTTGCTCTGATACCAATTCAAACGGGATGTCACGCCCCGAACCCTATCGAGCTCGCGACATCCTCCTCTGGTCGATTTGTGCGACAACCCAGGAATTATCGCCGACCTCATCCTAACGTCAGAGATTTAATTGCGCACACGGAAACCATAAATACCCGGACAAATTCAAACTGGGGAGAATTGGGAGAATATACATTTCCAGTACTCGATCAAACTTATTCCACCATATTTACAATAGAACAAACCTTAGTTTACCAGTACACACATTCCTAAAACCTTCGAAAGTAAGAACAAAAACAGACAACCTGGCATACTAACTTCCAAAAATGTTACCCTTCTGAAACCCATCGGAAACTCTGCCACATCGAACTCCGCGTGCACTGGTATTCCAAAACGTACTGGCGGCGGTGATGGAGGATTCATGATTCCTATCGGGGTTCTGAAATTGTCGGTTGAAACAACCGTGAGAACACTTCTCAGTAAGTTCACCCCTAAACCCAACCTAGGCCATCACGTACCTCCAGACAATTTCACCAAAACACAATCACACACTTATATTCACGCACGCTGAAACATCACATCGCAGGCACATTAAATAATATTACCAGGCTCAATCATGCGCACAACAGTATTCAAACTCAATCATGTCAGATGTAAACACGCGCATGTGCCACTCTCATCCCATTATTCTTTCCATTCTCATTTTCCATTTCCACTCGCCAGTGGCCCGCGTTGAAGTACACGCCTCAGGCATACTGCGACCATTCATTTTCCCACTTTCACTCGCCAGTGACCCGCGTTGAAGTACACGCCTCAGGCACACTGTGACCATTCATTTTCCCACTTTCACTCGCCAGTGACCAGCGTTGAAGTACACGCCTCAGGCACACTGCGACCTCTTTCCACAACACTTCTGGGCCCGCGTAAACGTACACGCCTCAGGCCATGTTTCTTGCCCGCGTAAACGTACACGCCTCAGGCTCAACATCTACCACCTACTGCGCAACCCGCGTAGAAGTTCACGCCTCAGGCTGGCAGTCTTCCGGTAATACCGGGCATCGTCCCGCGTTACAGTACACGCCTCAGGACGGCACAATTTTCCACAATTTCTCATGCCATGCCACCCACCATTCTTTCTTTCTCAAGTACACGCTCAATATGCACCACCATCCACTGGCCCATTACACGCGGCCCGTGCACGCATCAATTAACACGTAAAACATGCTCACTCAGCATTCGACATGGTCAATTTCAACAATTAATTCAATCTGGCCCACGCGTGCACATAATCAAGCACATTTCAATCCATCAAATCACGGTTCAATAAACACACAAGGCCACTCATGGGCCCACAAACACAGCCATGTTCATAGGCATAATTTTGACATTTCCTAGCATATTAAACACCACAATCCAGCCATACTACCACACACCAAACCAACACCATTTGGCCTTAAATCGAGCGCTAAGCTCGCCAATTCCATCCCACAACATCCGACACTCTATTCAGTCTCACTCCAGCCTCGAAACATCCTCATTTCATCCTCGAGTTACCTCATATAACACAAACAAATACTCAATTAAATCAACCCCATCCAGAATAATTCAAACATGCCCAAAACACGTAAATTGCCAATTTTCTCCAACCAAATGGCGTCGGATTAATTCCGGTCCTTCACGGAACTTTCTCGCCATAGTATCTAGGTTCCAAAAATTCAACTTGCGTCCCAATCGGACCATCACAGCTCGGTGAACAGTAATCCACAGCCAGTGAACAGTGATTCGAGGCATATGAACAGTAATTCGCAGCCCCTAATTTTCTGAATTTCCAATAAATATTACCCGAATTAATTCCTAAGGCCCGCCATAAAATTTCCACTCCCTATTCGTACCATTCCGCACCTAATTCCATACTGATTTTGTCCGAAAATTACCCGTCGATACCCAAAGTCCTAAATTAGGTTTAGGCGCGACGTACCCGCGTTGGCTAACTCAGCATACCACATGGTCAATTGAACAATCATTTCAATTGAACCCAAACGTGCACGAATCAAACATATTTACACCAGTCCATTGCACAGATGCACACACAATTCTACCACCACAACTTAATTATAATTAAAACACACGTAAAACATATAAATTTCTATTTTTCTCCCACCAAACGACGCCAAATTGATTCTGATCCTTCATGGGACTTCCTCGCCATTAAATACCGGTTCTAAAAATCTAACTTGCGTCCCGAACCGAGCATCACAACCTTGTGAACAGTAAATCACAGCTCGTGAACAGTGATTCTTAGCTTAAAATTCCCTCAAATCGTCCTCCAAAAATTCCAAATTAATTCCTTAAGGTCCGCCATACATTCCCGGTCTAAAGCCCTAACATTTCGCACCCGCACAAGTCCAATTTCACCCAAAATCAAATTGTTCGGCGATACCCAAAATCCTAAATCGGGATTAGAGTATGACTTACCGCGTTCTAGGCTAAAACGGCTAGAACGGAAAGCGGTGGCGCTCTACGGCGAAGGCGAACAACTCACGGTGGTTTCCGGCTTGCACGGCAGCGGTCCGGCGGCGGCGTGGTCTTGCACGGCCGGAAATGGGTCACGGGAAGAGAGAGAAAGAGAGGGGAAAGAGAGAGAGACGGTGAGGTTGGAGGATGGTGGTGGTGGCGTACAGGGGCGGCAAGGCGGCTAGACGGCGGTCCGGCGTGCGGCGGCGAGCGGCGGTGCCGGTGGTGGGGGAGAAAGAGAGAGAGTATACGGTGGAGGGGAAGGGGACTCACGGAGGAGGGGGAGAAAGAAGAGAGAGGAGAGAGAGAAAGGGAGTCAAGGGTTTAAAAATCAATTTTGACCAACTTTTTGGCAATTTACCAAAATGCCCTTCTCTCACACAACTAACCCTTTATTAATCCCAAGGGTAAAATGGTCACTTCCTCCGTTTCTTGCCCAAATCGAATTTTTCCGAAGGAATTGAGCGCACCAAAAATTCATACGTGACACGTGCAACGTCGTCCTAACGTTCCGTCGTGACTTCCTAATTTTCCGGTGTCCAATTTGGGTAAAATTCCATAATTAAATTCTATTAAACGCAACTCAAGCGTTTCTCGAGCTAACGGGCGGCTTGCTAGGGAAATTCGCTGAATCGACTCATGACTAATATTAAATCGAGTCACGTGCAAGTCCGTTCGGTGCGTGACGACCTCGGTTGTCATTAAAATCGCGAAGATCAATCACTTGATCCGAGGGGTACGATCGTTCGGTATAATTTCAAAATCATTCGTCAAGTCGTTTCGTGGTCCAACGGAATCACCCGCGATCCACTACTAAGACAGTGGCAAACTGACCCCTAACTATCCTTGGATCGGCCAACAGTGGCTCAAAATATCACTAACGCGATTTAATGATCGAAATCCATTCACGATCGAATTTTCTTTAGTCGCGCGAATTTAATTCCCCTATTAGCCTTTCCCTAATGGTTAGCATTCCCGGGAATGATTAGTTCCGGGCGAGAACTGACTACGAGTACATTCATAAAATCCAGTATTTCATAAATCCCAAATGAACTAATTTTTCAGGATGTCACACTGTCCCACTTAGGCGGCCCGATTCGACATGGGGATTTTTGGGTCATACTCTTTTGGTATTAGATATTGGCCGAGATAAAGACCTTGTAACCAGCTTTTGTTGGCCTTTCGTTTTTTATGGCTGCTTTGAGGCTATGTTCTTCTCTTAACGGAGGGCCGCGTCGACTCTTTCTCTTGCTTGGCTTTAGGGTATGGCATGTTTTGTTATTTGATTCGGTAGTTTTCCTAGGTGTTTGTTCTGTTCTTATGTGAAAGGTGTTGAATGGGTTTACATGGATTATGTGAAGGTGAAAAAAAGCAAGAACCTCTGTCAGGTTAAAAGGATAAGGAAAAAGGGCACATGGGGACGAGGGGAAAATTACTAATTCAGTCCTCAACCTAACACATGGGCGAGCTCGCCCAGCTCCGGCGAGGCGGAGCTTGCCTTGGCTGGGCGAGCTCCACCCTCGCCCGAGCTGGGCGAGGCGGAGCTCGCCATGGCTGGGCGAGGCGGAGCTCGCCTTGGCTGGGCAAGCTCCGCCCTCGCCCAGCGGCGGCGAGGGCCCAGCTCGCCTCGCCGGAGCTGGGCCTCGCCGGCGAGCCTGCCCCCTGGCTGGACAGGCCAGGGGGAGAAGGAAAAGAAAAAAAAAAGAAAAAAGAAAAAAAATTCGAAAATAATAATAAAAAAAATATTAAAATATTGCCACGTGGACGCCGGCCGGCGGCCACGTCAGCGTCGGCAGGCCAAAAGGACTGAATTGGCTGATTTGCAAAAGGTTTAGGACTGAATTGGCCAAATTAAAAGGTTTAGGACCGAATTGGCACAAATACAATAGATTGTGGACTGAATTGGTAATTTTTCCTGGGGACGAGAGAAAATCTTCCTCGGAGTGACTCTGTTTACTAATAGGGAATGCA